CTCTAGGTCAACTGATCAACCCAACCCAATAAAATCCAAAATAAAGACATTATTTATTAAGCGAGTTCTGTGTATCTAACATCCGCAACAGTTACACAGTATTGATTCATGCTAATAATCATATAAAAGTACGTTTACAACGAATTATTGCTCCGAACAGAAAGATCATTAATAGTTAGAAGGCTAATTCAATGAACAACTCCAAACCAAGACTAAAATATATAATACGTCTTGGTTTCCATAGTGTTGGGGATGTTAGATCCCCAAAATTCGCTCGATAAATGCCTTATTTTGGTTTTCATGTTTGCCAGCATGGGCTGATCACAGTTGACCTTGAGATTTAAATTCCCACTAGGAAAAGCCTTGGCTGTGATTGGCTGCTATGTATTTTAGTGTGCTATTTTCTTAACTGTCTCAAGGACGTTTCTATGTTGTATAAATAAACGAGAGTTGTATGCTTGATTGTATTGTGATTGCTGGGTGTTTGTAGAGTATACTTTCTAGGCTTACAAAGCCTTTTTAGTCTATCTGAGGATTCAAGGTAGCCTACGTGGACGCTGGTAAAAGTCTCGTTCGCGTTTATCGACTAAGGTAAACTCGTAATAGCCTCAAGCATACTTAGTGATGAGCGTAACACATAGTTGGCCAATATTGAATTCAAATAGAAACATAACTATTGTTTGAATTCTGAGAAATAGTTATTGTTTTCAAAATTTATTTTTTCTCTTCAAGAAAATTTAAATCGTTCAACTATAGCAAGTCATGGTAATCAACGCATTTTTCGATCGGGTTATGCACTGAAACAAATCGAAAAACACAAATTTTTTAAAATCGGTTTTCATTAGATTCTACGGTTAGACATCAAGATAATTATTTTACAGGAATAATCATTCATGTATAACGAGGAGATATATATCTCATTCATCCGGAAGTGACTTTCTATACTACTTAATATGCATTATTTAAGTAGTTGTACATCATATTTGAAGAAATGAATTAATGATAGTGTTGTAACGCTTGCTTAATTAATTCCCAGCTAAATCGTATTGCTTAGTATTCTCTGACCACAATACACTGGACAAGTTCCCAAGAATCAAAAGCATGGTGGAACAGGGAAAGATTATATTCCAAATAGAAAAGGTTAAATGGAATAAATGCCGAGGGCGAAGGCAAAAATAGATACAACGTTAGTCTATTTATAGCATTTACATGAGGAGCTTCTGGATTGTAATTCACTTGATCGACTGGATTAGATTTAACCAATCAGCACGCAGCTAACAATACGAGAATTTTCTATCCTGTTCTCCAAGAGTCGATCAGGCGCTGATTTGATAGAAAATTAGCCAGTCAGCGCGTAGAAACGTAGTCATGCTTTAATTCCATCTATGTCCCACTAACAGATAGTGATCACATCAATTTAAGTAAAACATGTAGCATAAATTTGACTTATCTGCCATTTGTAATGGATATACCATTCTGAACTATAAATATTCATTCTATCAGTCAAAACATTTTCATAATTTTCAATTTCATAAGAAAATTTCAACAGAAACTATGATTTCTCGACAATTTAATCTGTGAGAACGAATTTTTCTGTTAGCTTCATGAGTTTTATGTGAGTTTATCGAATTGATGAGATTTTTGAATGAAACTTCCTTATTCTCGTTAAAGAAACAGCTAATGTATTCAATGAGACATATCTAGAAAATAAAGGTTATATTACTTATAGGTACTAATTCTCATCACAGTGACAGATGCTTATATGGTGGTGCTGTAGTGAAGGAGAACACAGGTGAAGGCAACCGAATTGTATTTAACGAAAATTCCAGAGTTACTCAGTAAAATAGGAAAACCATATCGTAAATCGTTCATTTGCAAATCTTTAAAACATTGTCTGACATTTTACTTATTCATGCGTTTCATACAAGTTCCATTGTGTTCCCACTCTTTCTTTCTTGATCTTACCCCATCTTCTGCTGCCCGACGTTAAGTTGATACTCACGTCATATATAGTACTTATAAGTAGCGCGCACCACAGTGCCATTCAAGCACGACCTGTTTCAGTGTAAAACTTCAAATGTTCACCGTACTTACTTACCAAAAAACAATTCAATACCATTAAATTCCAGTCTCTAGAATGGTGTTTCAATATCTCAGTCCTAAAGCTTTCACAGTTCCAACCACTATGTCCTTAGTTCCTCCTACCTACTCCAGTCTACAATTTCGAATGCACATTGATTCTACAGTATGATTTTCAAATTAATTAACTAACTAATAGATCTACTTAAAATCTACCGGTATGTGCTGTTACGGGTATGAGGGCGGATTTCACTTCCCGGCTGCCCACACCGTGACAGGTTGTTTCTTGAGGAACCTGAAAAGGAAGATAGATTAGCGTTGGTCTTGGAGACCTGGGAGTGTGACCGCAGAGTCCAAGGGACAACTGCTTGTGGCCGGTCACGCACGGCCTTTTTATGAAAGGATTTTTGAGTATTAGCTCCGCTCTTAAAAGCCTTTAGTGGGCACCCTTACCGACGGATATGGAAATCCGTGAGGAAGGGTGAGGTGTGACATTTTAAGGGTCGACCTTTTCTAACCCTTCCTTCCCTGCGAGAAGACAGCATCGCTGCAGATGCTGGTTGTCCGAGGGAAACATCTTACTTCTGTCACAACCCTCAGCAGTCAGCAGTACGACTTCGCCCTCAGACCTTGGGTAGCTGCTTTTAGTCTCATCGTTCTCCAATCGACCAGCCTGGCATGGTAGGACCTGCAGGAACATATGTTCCAGCCAGTATAGCTCGGTTGGGTCATGACGATAGGCAAGTCCGATCACCACGTCAAGGTATCAGCTACGGTCGGGAAATCTACGGGGTCCGCGAGATGATAATCATCGATGGTTAGAGACCTTGAATGACGGCTCAAAATCGTTCGCAATGGCGCCGGTGCATTTATTCTTTGTGTTCTCTCAAATCCTAATCTTCTGGATTCTTCAACAACTATAGTTTTGACTTTCTAAACTTTTCTCATTAAATCATACTTGTTGAATAATATCTTCTAATCCTAACCTCTCCGATTACTTCTAATACCTTTACTACCTCTTCTACTATTGGACCTGAATTGACAATTACATCTCTGTGTGCTAATAATGTGGTATGGCAACATTAACTGATGTACTTACGTACGAAGTTCGACGTTGCATCTGACTGACTGACTTAAAATCTACTGTGAATTTATCTATTATGACGGAGAAAATATTTAATGAATCATACATAAGATACATTGGAAGGAAATGAATCAATTCTATATTGATATACTATTCTCAAAGTACAGCCTAATATTCAAGGTTCAATGAAGAAAAAATAATCATATTTTCAGAAAACAAAGTCTAAATTCCACGAAGACAAATCTAGAATACAAAGGTTATTACTTATAGGTATTAATTCTCATCACTGTGACACAGATACTTATTACTTGCCTACTTACTTACTTACGCCTGTTACTCTCAATGGAGCATAGGCCGCTTAATAGTTTTCTCCTGCCAACTCTGTCCTGGACTTCCCTTTCTAGTTCTTTCCAGTCTTTGTTTAGTCTTCTCCTATCTTTCTCTGCGTAATGTGTTCCTTGGCCTTCCTTTGATCTTGAGGATTTTATGTGAGGCCTTGTATTGTGACGTAGTTAGGTGTTTTTCGCAGTGATAGATACTTATATGATGGTGGTATTCAAGGACGACCTGTCTCCGTGTAGAACTTCAAATGTTCATTACTACTTACTTACCACATACAATTTATTACCATAAAGTTCAATCCCTAGAATGGTGTTTCAATATTTCACAGTTACAATCATTATATCCTTACTGCCTAATCAGCTCCACACACATCAGATTCAACAAATATCTTTCATCATTCGTACACACACAGTGTGTGTTAGGATTATTCATCGAATATCCTAAGAGAATTATTGGTTTATTCCTATTGGTTAATTCCTACTGGTCAATTTTATGGTCGCCCTAGATATCAATTTCACGTGCTCCAATGTTGCTTCCTATTGGTCGTCTTAACTGTCAATGTCACAGACTTCGATGCTATTTCCTTTTCGACCAAAATGTATATGTACGCATATGTACGCACGACCAGGACCAGGACCCGGATCCCTAGTCCAGGATCCTGTTTCTCTTCTGCATTCGTACTTCGTACTTTCTGGATGCTTGTAGAATACAGGTTCTACTTCATATTACGTCTTCTTATCGGATTTGAGTAGCAATGTCGTGTCACCGGATCCTCGTTCTAGTATTCCGACTAAGGTATACTCAGTCAGTTGCAACGTAGAACTACGTACGTATGTACATAAGTTCATGTTGCCATACCACATTAGCACAAACACGCAGATGTCAAATCAAATCCCACAGTGATAAAGATGGGATGAAGAAGACTAGGGTTCGAAGATACTATTCAAGAAGTATAATTCAGTGAGTGAGATAAGGTTAGAAAGACAAAGGTAGATGTGCTGACGATTCCAGAAGATTAGGATTTGAGAGAGCTCAACGAATGGATGCACTTGCGCCATTGCAAACGATTTTGAGCCATGTCGTTTAAGGTCTCTAACCATTGGTGACTTTCGTCTCGCGGACCCCAACCAGGTAGTCTACATCTACCAACATGACTCAGTCCGCTAGTCAGTGACTTCATGGTCTGGCCGCCCCTAGCTTTCTTCCAACCTACTCCTCCAACACCACAAAACATAGCTTGTCGAGGTAGTCGGTGGTTAGTCATACGTAACACATGTCCCAACTACCTCGACTGATGAAGTTTCACTACTTCATCTATTGATCTTCCATTCTTACCTAGCACCCGATTCCTAACGACAGCATTGCTTACTCGGTATACTCGTAATAATAGTTCAAGTATATCAAGTTGACGTGTTTACGTACAGACGTAACAGTGTATGTTTAAACCCTCGCCACACAAAGCTACAAATCATTAAAAGATTGACAAAAACAAATTGCAAAATAACAAACAAATCTTTACGGTGAAATTAAAATCAAAATTCAAATTACTTAAAAACACAGTTTAACCTTTTCAAAGTTCATTCATACACATCATATCAATAAAAGCATAATATATGATCATCTCTATTCATTAGTCCATTGGAGTTGTTACATGTCCAAGAAATATTGGTATAGAATCTTTCCATAGAATTGAAATAAAAAATGGATGATCCACTCGGAATTCTATTTTAGGTTTTTCATTTAACGCTGCTGAAAATGTAACAACTTCTATAGCAGTAGCTGCAGCTGCAACTACACCATGTTCATCTACCTGTAGACCAAAAATAAATAAATATTCAGTGATATTGTAGTTTTGTTGATAAAACTTCAACCCACTGATAACCAACCAATCAATAGACAACAAACAGATTGTTGTGAAGTAGAATACAGGTGATGGGCAACCGAAATTGTATTTAACGAAAAATTACAGAGAGTTAGTTATTCAGTATAAAATAGGAGAAAACCATATCGCGTAAACCGTTGTTAATTTGCGCAAATCTTCAATCCAATTCATCATCAATCTATTGTTGTTGTCTGACATTTCACTCACTTATTCATGCGTTTGTTTCATACAAATTCCATATTGTGTTCCCTCCACTCTTCTTTCTTTCTTTCTCTTGATCTTCCCCCATCTTCTGCTGCTGCCAGACATTACGTTTACACTCACGTCATATACTACTTATAAGTAGCGCGCACCATAAGTGGTCTAACAGTGATTCATTCATGATTTCAAAATAAAACTAAGATCTCCATGATAATATAATGTCGAAATTGGCGAATTACATAATCGACGAGAGGACAAACCTAACCACTGCTTTAATAACTACTGTGATTGTAAATCCCCCCAAAAATTAACAATTTTTTTCTATAAAATAAACAGTCTCATGAACAATGACACAATTACTATCATTAATTATTTACTTCAAGTGGTGTCCGTCAGGGATGTCCACTTTCTCCATTCTTGTTTAATTTTATCATAGACATGCTCCTAGAAATAACCTTATCCTCGTCTGAATTTTCAGGAGTAGACCTTTTACCAGGCGGCTCGCTTATTGACTTAGAATATGCCGATGACATTGTCCTACTTGGTGAAGACGCTGACAAAATGCAGAGTCTTCTGACCACCCTAAGCAACAATGCAAGCATGTTCGGGATGCGGTTCTCAACCTCGAAATGCAAAATGTTGTTTCAAGATTGGGTTTCATTGACACCTGAACTAGTGATAGGGAGTGAATTAGTCGAACGTGTAGACCGCTTCACTTATCTTGGCAGTCTCATCAGTGCCGATGGCCTGGCAAACATAACTGAACATGAAATACATTCCTTCTGCGTCAGTAGATCAGATCTTTCATTTTTATGCCACCCTGTGATCAGACTATCATTTTAAAACACATCTATCGGAATTTGTCTCTTACATATATAAATACATTCTTCGTAAACTACTATTGTGGTGCGAGCTACTTATAAGTAGTATATGACGTGAGTGTCAACGTAATGTCTGGCAGCAGAAGATGGGGGAAGATCAAGAAAGGAAGAGTTAGAACACAATGGAATTTCTATGAAACGCATGAATAGTGACAATGGATTGATGTTGTTTGCAACAGGAACAGTCCAGTTCGATATGATGGACTGATATTTTGCAAATTACCAATTTACGATATGGTTTTCCTATTTTACTGAGTAACTATGTAATTTTCGTTAAATTCAATTCGGTTGTCCCACCTGTGTTCTCGTTCACTGCGCTATCACTGACCCTAGGAGGAGAACAAGTTCGCCATAGTAATTAATACCCTGGACACTCAGTATTCTTTTGAAAAGCCAAAAAGAGATCATTTTCCAACGACTAAGACTATCTAAAAAAAACACCAATATCACTTCTAAGCATTTCCAAAGCGCCAAATCGATTCATAATGATGAGGTGGAGTGAAGAATAACCTGATGAGCTGCATCATTGTGAAACTTATGGTGGTTTTTTTATGTTAGCAAATGTGGTTCACACCAATAATAAAAAGCTGTATAAACAAGTAGACAGGAATTAAATCTGAATTTTAAATGAATTGTCATCAATATGCACTTCAACTTTACCGCACACACACACATAAGAATAACCTGACAATCAACCTTAATGAGAAATAAACGGAAATCTCTTGAACTTACTTCAAGAATAGCTTTATGAAGTATATTTGATATACAAAAATGATCAAGATCAGAAATATTTGAAAAATTAGCTGTTGCAGGACAAAAAGCTTTTTTCATTCCTAATTCTTTTAAATAATCCGTTAAACTTATAGCATTGCCTTCTTTCAATTTGAATTTAGGCAAATGTAAGTGTAATTCGATATTTTCAAATTTCGAAAGAAGAATTGACGAGAGTCCTTTGTCTTTAGATAATGATTTTAATAGGTCAGGTAATCCATTATGGGCATCGGGAAGAATAACAAGTAATAAAAAGCTACAACAATAAGAATGATATATAATCGAGTAATAAGGTATAAATATATGATGAACAATAATAGTTCAACATCTACATATCAAGAAACTAACTAATGATCTATTGCACTGCATTTCGTTCGGTTCTACTCAAACGGTGTGAAACATAGCCAGAAAGTGTAGAACATATATACTGATTTTTGATCAGAGGTTTCTCAGAAGCATTGATTGTATATTCTGCGATTGCCAACAAAATAATGCTATTGTTAAGAAAGGGATACTAGGTAGACATGGAAGATCAATCGATGAAGTATTTGAATTTTATTAGTTTAGATGGTTGAGACATGTGTTACGTATGCCTAATCACCGACTGCCTTGTTAAGTTATGTTCTAAGGTTTTGGGAGTAGGTTGGAAAGAAAATTCCTTCACGTTAGTGAACAGACTTCGTCATGTCTATAAAAGATATACTTTATCAACTTTTTAATCGTAGTGACAAATTTATTGAATTACTATACTTGTCAGCTATCATTTTATAAATAAATTTTACGTTTTCTGATGGTGATTTTAAGATTCTATAAAAATAGATTGTTTTATTTTTCTATGTACAAGCAAAACTACACGTCATCTTGAGCAGTAAGAACTCATTATCAATTGCTCTGAAGAATAGTATGTAGACTGTTGTGGATAAGCTTATCATTTCCTTCTTTAACACAGAACATAAATAAGGATATTAAAAATAAAATGTAAAATAATTAAGCTTACTTAGGATCTTTAAAAGGTATTTTGATGGCTCGTGACTTTAATAGTGGTAAGCTGACCAAGTCGAATGAAGATTCTATAAACATATACTTTACTTCCATTTTCGACATGTCAAGACCATGAAATTCCTTAATGTAGGAGTTATGCTCAGGAAAAGCTGATTTCCATACACCTATGAAAACAAAACTAGTTATTGAATTTGATAACAAATCTGAAAATTACAATCATCAAACAAAGTATGGATTAAACACTTCAAGGATATGTATAAGCACTACTCAATGAACATATAAATTTACCTTTGTAGTATGTAGTGGCTAGCATCAACATTGATGTATCTTCGGTTAAAGATTGCGATGAAACGAGTTGTTGAATCTTTCCACAAGTCTGCTTGCTAACCCATTGGTTTATTCGTTTACATGCACTTTCTTTATCTGTCTGAAATGCTAACTACATAGAAAGTTAGTTAGTAATGCACAATAAAAACTTACGCGTTCTGTCGACGCATTGTAATAAGTCATCAAATTGAATCTGAATCGTTCTTTGATACTGATGACATTGTCAGAAAAGAAAATTCCATTGCCAAATTTTATTTCAACACCACCAGGTTTAGAAAAATCACTCAAGAGTTTACCAATTTCTCCATGAAATTTATCATTTTCTAAGCATTCAGATAATTGCATTGTTTTTACTATCTCATCTTTTGTATTCATTGCACTCCCAGACAGAATCATTCCAAGGGAAGTATATACATTAAAAGGAGATAGAAAAGTATTCTCCGAATGGCCTGAGTATATTATGCGGGGTATTTTGGAAGAATGACTTACTCTTGGCTTTTTCCAATATCTTCGCATAGAGCTTTTCGCTAAATTCTATAAGCGATTGTGATATATCCATTTTGTTTGAGGTCGCCATCTGTTAAGACAACTAAAATGAATTAACTGTAAGGCAACAGCTGGTGGAACGATAAACAAGTACATTACTGTCTGTGACACGTATTTAAAACTCAGTATTATTATAGTGACAAGAAACGGTGAGATGTCAATGAACTGCCTACAGATGGTGTATTTTAGTTAAAACATATACACATCCATAGTTTTGGTTTTACAAAACGTTTTCACCGGTTTCACTGGCTTTTGTTCGCTCTTTATAACTCTATGACACCAATATTACTCTTAATTTATTTATATTTGATCTTTCGTTTGATTTAGCTTATTTTGATTTGTACACAAAGTACATAATATACTTATAAATTTACATAAATCGATTGTAATAAGATGCAAATGAAGACCCTAGCCCTTCGTTTACAGAATTTTGTCAAAATTCAAAGTTATCAAACAAAATCCTAGAATTCATACTAAAATTTCGCTGACTCTAGGAAAATTCAAAATGTTGTCCATAGACTTATCGCTTGTTAACTAATCATGATGAATCATTTAAGGTATAATTAACAAAGCGTCAAAAAATATAAAGAGTGCAAATGCTGATCAGTATCTGAGTGAACACGAAAACTGGAAAAACAAGGCAAAGACAGCAGATAGTTTTAAAACAGCCTGCACTCTCGTTTCAAGGACCTTGATTTTCCAATATCCAATATCTTTTTCACGAGCTAGTGTAATCCAATTTGAATTCTTCGCGCTCGATTCTTGTTCTTTCTTTTTCACGAGCTGGTTTAAAACAATTGATTTATTTGTGTTCGATTCTTGTTCTTTCGGTACGGTTTCAGGTGTTTTGTAGAGTAGCCACTTGAAAGCGCTAATTCTAGTCAGTTGGCAATTGTTTGTGAGTTTGTATGTCTAGTAATTTTGAATGAAGACGATTGTTTCTAGACAGTAGGGTTTCTGGATACCAGCATGTACCATTTAACCAGACTGGAAATCAGTCATTTGCTGTGTAGATAATGATAAGGAGAAAAATCTAATGCTAATGAGAAGAAGATTTCAGCAATGAGTAAATAAATAGAAAAGTTAGTTCATTTATTGTCAGTGAAGATCGTGCAAGTGGACATAAGTGTTATTAGGGGGAGGAATCGGAGATTAAAAGGGATATAGAATAATTCAGTGATATGAGGAGAAGGAAGTAATAACAGCAAGCATGTCTCAACAAATGCATCAGGCACAGCCCGTCCACGAGGAAGACGATAATCTGTTCTTACGTATGTGTTTTTCAAGTTTCTTCTTACAGCTGTGATCATCTCGGTTGGGAGAGCATTCAAATTTGCAACGACTCCTAATGAGAAATAGTCGGCATGAACCTGAGTGTTTGCTCTTTGATGCACAATAGTCAGAGGACAACTTCGAGAGGCTTGGTAGTGATGCTTCGGTAAGATGCTCACGTTGGGGTGGTCTGACGTGCTAATTCGTTATACGCCACAATCAGACCATCTCTGTTCTACTGTAACTCAGTGGGGATACTTTTCTTTGTGACTTTTATTCTTCAACCCTACCACTAATTTCGTGGTTCACCTCTGCGGTCAACGCAAGAGATTTATGTCTCACTCAGGAAGAGGGGGTTGTGATGACGGTGTGAATCTCTTGGTGTGGGTGTTTATATTTTATAAACAGCGTTAGGAATAATTGTGGGATGATAGCACTATGTTTTCTCCGCATAAAGTAAATAGTTGTATTTTTTACTGGCTGAGTCCCCTATATAGTTCGAGCTGGTGTGAAGGCTTTCTATGGTTACAAAACCGAGATCGCGCTCTGAGGTGGAGGACTTAGGTAGCGGACTGCCGTTGCGGATCTAAGTCATTTGCTTCATATGGGACATAATGTATAATAGTTGAAATTTTGACTTGTTCAGTCATATACTGCTTTCCACTTCCCATTTGTAAATATATAAAAAGTCCTTTTGGCTTATAATCGGTATACAGGTCTTTGCATCGTCTATGTAGAGGAATGCTGTTCAGCTACAGATCGTTCATGAGTATCGTGACGCTAGAAATATAGTTTTCTTAGTACCAAGTGAGAAGTTATTCGGGTATTCCCTAAGGCGTCAGCTCGTACTAAGTTTAATAAGTACTCTGAAAAAGAGGATACCTTCAATAACGTATGGATGAAGTTGGTGCTAAATATTTTAGGCGTCACTAGGTTTATGAGATCTTTGCGAAGATTACCTTTATTTGGACGGCTAGCTTCATTTGAAAACGTCTACTATCACTCCTAAATTGGACAGTGCGTCTGTTTCCTAAAGCCACGTATGAACTACGGTTGGAATCCTATAGAGAGACCTAACCCATGTTCTTCTGTTTCTGGACGTGTGGTGTGCCCGAGGCACATTGTTAAGAACATCAGTCTGGATGTTATCTCTCAAAGTTTGCGAAAAGAAGAATCTTTCATGCAATTCAAACTGGTGTAGCAAGTGTAGGATTCGTTTCCGTCCAGCCTGAGTATTTCGCCTATGACCATATTGAACGTGTAACGTTCGAACAATGTGGGTGACTGGAAGACTATTTCGAGTTGCTGCAGAAATGAAAAGATACCACCTGGAGGTGTTTGCAAACAGCAGAACGCATTTGACACAGGTAGGAAAACTGAGACTAGCTTCTGGTAGACTGCTGTCACACTCTGGCAATGAAGAGGAAAATGCTTCACGTACACAAGGAGTTGCAGCATCTACCGACCTCCCAATTGATGTTGGCCCACCGGCAATTGAAGAGATCAGTATGGTCATCAGACAAATCAAGAGCGGCAAAGCAGCAGGACCAGACAACATTCCAGCAGAGGCAGTGAATGCAGACGTGGCAGCAACCGCAAAAATACTTCAAATTATCTTCAACAAGATTTGGGATGAGGAACAAGTACCACCAGACTGGAAGGAAGGGAACCTGATCAAAACACCAAAGAAAGACGATATCAACAATTATGGGAACTACGAATGCATCACTCATCTCTCAATACCAGACAAAGTCTTCAACTGGTTTTGTTAGACAGGATTAAGGACTTCGTAGACGCCCAACTTCGAGATCAACAGGCTGGATTTCGTAAGGATCGATCGTGTACTGACCAAATTGCTACATTATGGATCATTGTGGAACAGACAATTGAATTGAACTCACCACTTTACATCAACTTCATCAGCTACGAGAAAACATTCGATAGCATGTACAGAAAAACACTATAGGGGCTTCTTCGACACTACGGAATACTTATGATGGATTCAACTGCAGAATCATGCACCTAGATCAGCTGACAAACTCGTGTAAGGTGAAGAGCAGTTTCAGGCAAGGTTGCCTACTCTCACCCTTTCTCTTTCTCCCACTGAAAGACTGGATTATGAAGATGTCAACATCAGAGGGGAAGCACGGTATCCAATGGACAGCTAGGACGCAGCTGGACGATCTGATGACCTGTCTCTTCTATCGCACACGCAACAACAAATGCAAGAGAAGACGACTAGTGTAGCAGTAGCCTCAGTAGCAGTATGTCTCAGCACACAAAAATGGAAAAGTGAGATTCTGCGATACAACACAACATGCGCCAACCAAATCACTCTTGATGAAGGATGTTAACACGCTTACATATCTTGGCAGCATCATCGACAACCTAGGCAGATCCGATACAGGTGTAAGGGCGCGGATTGGCAAAGCAGGATCTGCATTTCTGCAATTGAAAAATTTCTCGAAATTCATATATATCAATCAACACCAAAGTCAGGGTTTTCAATACAGAGGTCAAGAAAGTTCAACTGTATGGAGCGGAAACTCGGATAACTAAGAGTCCACGATCCAAAAGATACAATTTTGTATGTTCAGTTGTCTTCAGAAAGTACTTCAGACTCGTTGGCCAGACACGTTCAGCAACAACTTACTTTGGGAAATAACAAACCAGATTCTAATGAAGTAGGAAATCAGGAAGAAGCGGTGTAAGTGGAAAGGACACACACTGCGAGAAGCACCGAACAGCGTCACAAGCGACGCTTTCACACGAAACCCTCAAGGTCGAAGGAAAAGAGGAAGGTCGAGGAACACACTACGCTGAGAAATAGGGAAAGACATGCGAAGAATGAACAAAAACTGGAAAGAACTAGAAAGGGAAGCCTAGGCAGAGTTGGATGGAGAAAACTGGTGGGCGGCCTATTCTCCACTGAGGGTAACAGGTGTAAGTAAATAAGTAAATAATTAATTACCAAACAGGTCTATTTGTTCTCGTCATTTTTAGTACTCATATTGTCATTGACATTATTCAAACTATCAAATCTTTATCAGTATCGTCTAAAACCCTCGACTATTCACAAAATGTAAATACGAACCAAAATAAATGCAGATTTTCGGAATTAAAAAAAAGACATCGATTCTTTGTCCATTATGAACAAAGTATATCATACACGCTTAATCTAGAAAACGTCGTTCTGATAATACTGACATACCAGTCGTAGAAGAGTGCTTGGGACAGAATTATACTTGTAAGTAAATACATTCAGATCTCCATTGTAGACCTCATCAATTTATACCTTGACAATATATGAAATGCAATTCAGATTAGAAAACAGGTGGAAATTTTATCTTCCTTAATGTTGCACATGGTATTTGTGCTTTTTGCAGATACACAGACGCAAACCCTGAACAACTACAGTTCTGTGCGGGGTTGGCAAGCTTCCATTGCGTTTTGCAAAACTGGTTCAATCAGTGAGCTTTCTGTAAGTATTATTTCGACTCTCAGCCAAACGCATAACTGATAAAGTAGGCTAACACTAACTAACCTAATAGAAAACAGTGATGTCCAGATTTTTAGATTCCGCTGGAATAAGTTTTATGGAGAGAACGCGATTGAACTAATAGAAAAATTCATCATTATAACCATTTCTACCAGTGATTATTTAACTGTAAATTTGTTCCTAACACTCCTCACGCTCATGGTTGTGTTGCTGCCATGTTTGCTGTAGCTGCTGTTTGATCTCGCTCACTTTCATGGTGTAATTTCGATGTTCTTACGATACCATGAAATCAACAGCAAACATATTATTTACCCTGGATTTGTTTATCTTCTCAGTGACGTATTCATGATGAGTATTTAGTGATGATCTTAGTAAATCTCAACTTGGTCACTTCTAAAATTTCCTACCATGATAATTATTTCTACTTTGAATTTTGTACTGTGAGATAGACGAAACACTGTTAAAGTATACGGAAAATACCTGTGTAAAGCAAGATGTTTCATAAATGCTCATCCAAATATTCGGCCGTCAATTGGTTATCATCAGTGGATATCAATCAGCTTATAATGTGAATCGACTGAGTTCGGAAATAAAAGTTACTAATATCTACACGAAAGCCAAATATGATGTTTATTTAATGTGTTCTTCCGAGTGATTCCTATATGTTGCCTTCTGGTTTACAACGATAATGCATGTCAGACTGTGGCCACCACCTGATGAAGCTTATCTCAAGAATGTAACTGAAATCTATCTGTTTCAGTTTCTAGCTAGAAGATCGCAACTTCAAATGCATCTACTTTCTGTTGAATTTCACCTCGACTAATTACTTGAAAATTTCATGAAAAAAAGGTGTGAGATATTGTATCGATCCGACAATTCCTTTTCTTGGTTTCTCCGCACCCAAACCAACACTCAAGCAAAACTTAAATGGTTCATTTTTTTACTGAACAGGCAAACATAAACTGTCATAGTTAAGAGTTTATTACTTTTGCAG